TGACGTAGGATGCTCGCTCTGGGCTACGCGATTGCCCCAGGATTACTGTGGTCGTGCTGTGACCTCTAGCCCCGATGCCCCTCCCCGTATGTTTGCCCAAGCGTCCCCGCCTAGCATTGGCACAGGATTTGTTGCGGCCACCCCTTCCCTTTTCCAGAGTGCAGGAACGGGCACGAGTGCGAGTGCGACTTCTGGCTTCCAGTCCGTCGCATCGGCCGGCGTTGTACCTGCGACTTCTGGCTTCCAGTCCGTCGCACCGGCCGGCGTTGTACCTTCGACTGCAGACGTCCAGCCCACCGGATCCGACGGTGTAGTACCTTCGAGTTCGAGCGTCCCCTCTACCACTTCCGGTGTAGTGCTTCCGATTTGTGCTTTTCCGTCCGTCGACGTAGACCCAACCCCCACGACGATCCCCGATTTTCAGCCTGTGATTACGGCTGCCGTAGAATCGTCTTCGATTGTGTCTCCCCCTGCCGTAGAGCTGACAGACTTTCGCGAGATAGAGATCAACCCCCTTTTTTCCCAGGATGCATTACCAATCATGGACATGAGCATGTTTCTGGATGTTGGGTTGATGGATGGCAAAGACACGGTCCCCCCGGGTGATTTTTTTCCTGATGCGCTTGAATTAGCCGAGTCTGCGGATCCACCCCACCTTGCATTCACTGTGAAGCATGATGATTTGGAAGTGTTGAGCGGTTTTCTTTCCGAGTGCAATGAGCAGCAGGCCGCAGCCCCTCCGTCTCTTTCCCACGCGCTGGCGATTATCGCCCCCGGTGCTTCCCCATTCCGGTACGAAAATCCACGCCCACCATCGACATTAACCTGTTCCACGCTTCCACCGGCCACGTAAATGAATTTTTGATGCGTGAGACTGCCAAGCAGCAGGGTGTTCGGCTGGTCGGGGAGCTGCAGCCATGTGTGGGCTGTGTGGAGGCGAAGGGCAGGAGGGCCCCGGTGCCGCGGCGTGGGACACGCGCGGCGGTGCCGTTCGGCAAGGTCCACATCGATCTCACGGGCCCGTTCACCGAGGCGATGGACGGCTCCCGGTACCTGATCATGTTCGTGGACAGCGCATCGCGGTGGCAACGGGCGTACGGGATGCGGGCGAAGAGCGACACCCTGAAGTACGTGAAGCGCTTCTTGGCCGACATGAACGGCATGGGCACTCCGGGATGTTTCCGCATGGACAACGGCGGCGAGTTCACCGGCGCCGCTTTCATCGAGTTCTGCGACGCCGCCGGCATCCGGCGCGAGTACACCGCGCCGAACACCCCCAAACAAAACGCCGTCGCCGAGAGCGCCATCTGGCGTGCGATGAAGGGGGGCCACGCCGCGCGACGCCACATCCTCTCCATGGCCCACGTCGACCTCGCCTCCGTCCCCAACATCGGCGCCAACGGACAACGCCTGTGGCTCTCGTCGGCGCTCTGGGCATCCGGTTGTTTCAACCGCTCCGCGACGAAGGCCAATCAGGGCTGGATGTCGCCGTTCGAGGCCTTCTTCGGCCGGAAGCCGCCCCTCACCGTCGTCCCCTTTTTCCAGGAGGGTAGGATGCGCGTGAAGCGGGCCACCAAGGCGGACGTCCAATCCGCGAGGTGCTTCTACCTGCACGGCGCCAACAACCACTCGACGTCTACCGCCGTCGTTCTTCGCGCTGACACCGGTCGCCTCGCCCTCACCAACAACGTCGTGTGGGTCAACCGCCGGGCAGGAGCGCCGGCGCCGGTGCCGGCCATCGGGGGGGGTTCTTCGGTCACCGCGGCGCCCTCGCCGGCCGCCGCCGTACCTGCGGCCGATGCCGCACAGCCGCCGCCCCCGCGGACATGGACGTACTACCCCCCTGCACCAGCGACCACCGCAGCGCCGCCCCCTCCCCCGTCGATCTTCACAGGATCTTCAGCGCCGTCGCCGATCTCCGTCGCACCATCCTCAGCCCCGCCGTCGACCGCAGCCACTCCGCCCCGTTCGCCCCCGGGCCTACCGCCGCCGCCGCCGAAGCCCGCCAGCGCCGCCGTCCCCGCTCCTCCGCACCCGCCGCTTTCGAAACGAGCCGTCAAGGAGTTGGGACGAGAGGACACGAGGGTTCACGGCCGCACACGCGGCGATGGAGTGCGGTTCATGGATGAGCAACAAAAACCGCCGTCGCCACCCGGTGGCGGCACCGCTCTCCACCACCGCCTTGAGCTGTTGGACATGATGGACAAGGACACCCTCATCTCGTCGCTCGCCACCCGGGAGGCCGTGGATCAAGGACGCCGCGACCTACCGCCCCCGCCGCAGCCGGATCCGAGTCCTGGAGGCCGTGGAAGCGGGGGGGCTGTGGGAGCTGGGGGGCCCGTGGATTCCGGAGGGGGGGGGAGACCGCAGATGTTCGCAACGATGTTCGCCACCCGTGAGGATGTGGACGCCGCACTTCGCGCCGAGCGCCCGCCCGACAAGATGCCTGACCTTCCGCACTGCATGGCCAGCGACCTCCGCGAGCCGAAGACGTTCAACGAGGCCATGCGGTCTCAACATTCAGAGTTATGGAATGATGCAATCGGTCGAGAGTTTTTCGGTTTGTTGGATGCAGGAACTTTTAGTCCGGTGTAGCAACCAGTAGAGAACGCCATCAATGCTAAGTGGGTCTTTAACTGTAAGGCAGACGAGTACGGATGGCCGACGAAATTCAAGGCAAGACTTGTAGCGCGGGGGGACATGCAGAGGGCTTCGATTGATTTTGGAGAATTGTTTGCACCCACCGTATCAGTGTCTAGTGTGCGCTTGTTGGCAGCATTAGCGTGTGAGCAGAATCTTGACTTGTGCCATTTCGACATTCAGCAGGCTTTTGTGCAGTCTGAGCTTGATGAGGATGTTTTCATGCGCTTACCGCAGGGGTGTGGTAGGTTATCTGGCTTGATCGTGAAGCTATGCAAGAGTCTGTATGGTTTGAAGCAGGCATCACGACATTGGCATTCGCACCTGACGAGGTGTTTGTTACTTTTAGGTTTTTTGCAGTGTCTGGCAGATGCGTGTGTTTTTCGATTGATGGAGGAGGGACGTGTGATCATGATCATCGTGGTCCACGTGGATGACATTTTTGCTGTAGGGCAGAAGGAGAGGTGTGACAAGTTTGGCGAGGACCTCAACGAGATGGTCCCCGTGAAAAACCTTGGAGAGTTGAGGTGGTACTCTGCGTGCTTTTACGAGAGAGACGTAGAGAGAGGGCTGTTGAGGATTTCGCAGCAGAGGTTTGCCGAAGAGTTGGCTGCAGAGTACGGAATTGAGTGGGGGAGGAGTGTGCCCTTGCCTGTGAGCGTGAAGCTCACCGACTTTGACGAGAACGAAGCGTGCGCTGATGTCCCTTTTCGCGAGTTGGTAGGATCTCTGATGTGGTTGGCCACTCAAACAAGGCCGGACATCGCGAACGCAGTACGAGCAGTAGCGCGGTATTGTGCATCTCCCAAGATGGTGCACTGGAAGGCAGCACTCGGTATTTTAGGGTACGTACGCAGGACGAGTTGGATGGGGATTACATTTGAGAGGGGAGTGGTGACTGGGATGAGCATGCAGGTGTTTGTGGATGCCGACTATGCAAGCAAGGCGACAGACCGTAGATCGGTGTCAGGAGGGCTAGTGATGTGTGGGGGAGGGTGTGTGACTTGGTTTTCGAGGACACAAAAGTGTGTCACGCTTTCCACCACGGAAGCAGAGTATGTGGCAATTGCCGATGTCTTGAAGGAAGTGTTGTTCCTGAGGCAGGTGTGGCGTTTTATGTTGCCAGATGCAGGTATGCCGTGCATCCCGGTGTTCGAGGATAATCAGGGAGCGATTCAGATTGCGCACAACCCGATCACGAACTCCAACTCGAAACACATCGATGTACGACATCACTTTATCAGGGAGCTGGTAGAGAGGAAGGAGATTTCAATTACTCATGTGCCGACGCACTTTCAGCATGCAGATTTCTTGACGAAGGCCATTAGCAAGGAGTCTCTTGGGTTGCACCGTGACTTTGTGATGAACTTGCAGTGAAGGAAGTGTTTTGGGGTCGATTCGTATTCTGTAATGGAAAGAGAGAGAGAGAGAGAGAGAGATAGAGAGAGAGAGAGAGAGAGAGAGACGAGAGAGACGAGATTGGACAAGGGAAAAGAGAGAGTCTGGTGAAGGTTGGAGGAGTTTTTGTTTGTTTTGAGAATTTTCTTGTTTGCTTTGGAGAGATGGTAAAGAGGAAGTTGGTTTTTCTCGGAGCATGACGATGCATACGAGTAGGGGGGCTATTAGATATATTGGGGGTACTCGTAGCATAGTATGACGGTTGAGATGTTATGTACGTACGTACGAAAGTTACAGTGATGAGATGCGGAAGAATAAGAAACTTATACATATATTCCTTGGTTGCGAGAGGTATTTGGTGAAGGTTCAGAGAGATCCGTTGAGTGACAAAGAGTGAAGGCGTGACCAGATGCCGTGATGGTTTGACGAGCACTGGCACGCCCCCGATTAATACTATACTTTGCAACACGTTTCTACCCATCCACGCTCCGCCATGACCCACCCGCTTTGAGCTCCAACCACAAAGAATCGAGCCACCCGAATTATCGATCACAGCAATCTCTTCCCTCGCGACTTACGACGTCGATCAAGTTTACTAACAACGAGCTTTGCAGGGCGTCGCTTCCAACGGAGACCAGGATTTAAATAGCGAGAAAAAACTCACTCTGTCGAGACTCGAACCCATGACCTGACCCAAAGCAGGCTGCGAGGCTACCCACTAGACCACCGGGGCGACCGGTATTTATGTGGGACCACGACTCGAACTCAGTCGAAAATTGTCTGCCTATTCCACCTGTACACCACCTACACATCTCACCTCGGTTCGTAAATTTCGGGTATTCTCTCGAGTTGGTTCTGGTGCAAAACAGCGATATGCACAGGAAGGCTGTTGTGTGTAAGTGGGGTGGGGTGGCGACGACAAGGACAGGAGACACGGCTGACTCTTTATCCCTGATAATCGTGTTGAACCGAGGAGAGGCTGCTGTCGGTATTAGACTAGATAGAGTAGACCTCTTGTTGAACCGGACACGGGAACAACTGTTGTTCTTGTTTTGATGTGAGCAAAGAAAATTGAATGCAAACAAGTATGGGGTCAAGTAGGTCACGTGCATCGTGCTTTGCTATACACTTATGTCTCTCATGATAGGTGATCCTACAGAAAAGGAGGTCGTGTACAATCACCATCATGTGGTGGTCTCCTGCCGATTGGAATCTAAATCCCATGGAGATCCGTCGAATATTCACAGTCATCGCCGATCAGTCTTTGCTCTGTGCCACATCATGCAGCAGCTCGCTTCAACCGCCCAACACTACGTTTATATGAGCTGGAGATCTCGCTTGAACTTGTATTCGATCGAAGCTCTCTCGGCGCACGAAATACGCCTGTACCCCGATCAGATGGGCGGGCAATGTCTTGTGCCGCACCTGCGGCGTAGTTGGTGTCGGTTCGGCATATATTTTTCGTTTCGAATGCTTACACTGTCGACTATTCGTACGAACACCGACCACGACCACGACAGGTTTCGACTAGATTTCGACGATCTGGATTTCCGTGTGCACCCACCCACTCTTCTTCCCGATGATAAATGCACTACGAGCTCGTCGCTGTGACCGGATTGTGCCAAAGGTTCCACATCACTACTGTATCATCGGCTGTGCTACAAGACGTGGACTCGCTGTCGGGGAGCGCTTCCGTTCGTAAGTACATTAGCAGGATGGACGACGAGCTCATGGATTCGATGGGTGGCGGGGGTGGTGGAAGTAAGCGTCAGCATCAGGGCACCAAGTACCATCGAACACTTCAGTCCGATGGGACGTACCTAACCCTGAGACATGCCTTCGGGGTAGAGGGGGGCATCCGGGACAACGTGGCGTTCGTCACAGTGCCGGATCCGGACGCCGAGGGGGCAGGGCTGATGCTCGGATACCTCTTGCATCCAGTTGGTCAGCAGGTGTGCAATTAAAATCCTTAGTTGCGATAATTTATCCTGCTGCTGGCGCTACTGGTGCAGCTGTTGCTGGTCCTAGATTTGCTTGGTTTGCCACCACTGCACGTGTTTACCGCGGTTGAGTTCAACCGAAGAAAATGCATGCGTTCGATGAGATCCGGCACAGTGGTATGTAGCAGTGCAAGTCCAGCCCAGCGAGATCGGCAAATAGCAATGTGAAAGGATGCTTCTTCTGGCAATGGGCATTGTGCGATTGGCATGAAAATCACAACATGTAGCCTTAGAAATGGGCACTGCCAAAAAAATTTCGGTGCTTCGACGACGGCGCGATACACTGTGCGTCCAACACCATACGCGACCAACCAAACATGGGCCGCTGAGAAGATATGCCAGCGAGACACATTGGCTGAACGTCTTCGGTAATCCAACCAACTCTTGTACAATATGGATGCATGAGGTTTAGATCTGCACAAAAATCCGATCGTAGAGTGTTTTCCATTTCGTCTACATACGATTTTGGAGTTAATTGTGTCTATACCCTACAGTATTGGTGTGAGTTGCAAAATACTACAATAAACTTTCATACGTAACCCGGCGCACGTAGGACTACCTTAGCCGGACCCCGGCAATGGAATGTATCATGTTTGGAAGATGAAGACCGTTGTTAGATTGCACGCCCTGTCAATGTTTCAACGTTTCGACGGTGGAACTGGGAGCTTGGTGAGTTTCTACCTTCATTCTCAGTTCTTCGTACAGCATGGTAGTCCTACAGGCATCGTCAGCCGCTGCTGTTTCAACCAAAACACAACCCTTTTTCGAGCAGAGGCCGGAGAACCCACGTCGTGACGAGGATTACAATCGGCGTGTCCTGAGGACGGTGCAATAATAGAAAATTCATGCTACCTTGCGAGAAAAGAGGCCGGTTTGTTGAAGGCGCACGTAGACAACAAACCGATCTCGTGGAAACTTTTAAAAAAGTCCAAGGTCATGGCGCGTGTGGTAAGGCACGCGGGAAACGCGTGAACGCCGTAGACTCCCATGTTTTGAAACCGCTCAACCCACCTGTCTGTGATGGTGCACAGGTAGCCATGCACCGCGTGGATGACGGCAGCATGAAATTCCTCGTCAGTCGTCAGAGAAACGTGCGAGAAATATTGGCACTGTGCGTTTCACCCAACAAGCGGGTCATTGCCGTCTGCGAGAAAGGCCGGGCCCCCGAAGAGGATCCGGGGAGCGCTCAGGTGCGCCATGCAAACACGGTGACTTAAAACCTTTGCATTTCAAAGTCAGGCTTGTTGGGGTGTCTCCCTCCCATTTGCACGGACCGGCAGATGACCACCACGGTCTACCAACAGCGTAAACGTACGCTGCTGGGGATATTTTTGCAAGATTCGATCGGTTTTCTCACGACGGGAACGGAGGGGGCAAAAACCATAGCGACGTAGTGAAACGCATGCGGGAGGGTTTCGTTTTGGCTCGCTTCTTGCACCAAGACGGAGGTCCTCGACAGGGCACGTGCACTTGTTACCATGCACTCCTGTGCAGATGAATAAAAAATGGAGCGCTACTTTCGTTAGGTCACATTTCTCATGTAGCGTCGCTCTTTCGTCGTTTTGTTCACGCATCTATTTAGGGTCTTTCGCTGTAGTAGAATATCAAAGGGGGAATACTCTACCTCGTGTAGGAAGCACAAACTGCTGGTATCTGTTTGGTTGGAGTCGTCCCCCTCGGGCACCACAGTCAGTCAGCGCTCACCACATGGCCGAGTTTAGTGAGGAATGCTGAGCGCTGAAGTTCAATTGTTTTCAATTGTGACACCAAAGACTTCGAATGGATACCTCCCAAGCGCTGCGTCTCGCATGATATTCTGCTATGCGCTCGCGAATGAGTCTTGCTCCCAAAGTTTTAGTTTCGTTGATATAATTGTGCGTGAGCGGAACGCCTGACACTTTGTTGCTGAAGAGGATGAGAGAGTACAGAACACTTCTCGCGGTGGTATTGGGAGTCATGGACCACAGAAGCTTCATGCTGTGTGGCTCCGAATCGCAGCTCCTCAGAAGACAGACCGAGATCGTAGGGATGAAACAGTGAGAGCGACCGTCGTAGATGGGAATTGGGCGGGAACTGCAGCATAGTCATGGGATTCCTCGCGAGGTTTGTGCCTATGCAGCAGTGATGTGTATTTTTCCATCCGTCAAAGCAATTTCAGTGCCAGACCCACATGGCATCAATTCCATTCTATTGGCTGCCACCAAACAACGTTTTGAGGGCAGCATCGCAGTTCTTTGTCTGGGACAGTTCTGGGAAGACATAGTACTTCACGCGCTGAGTCCCGTGCTTGACATCACTTTGTTAAGGAGGATCCGATTCGCAGGGTATCAGTCGATTGACTTTTACCTGAATCGGTACACCTTCGCATGTGGCGTCAGCTGGACAATGGTTCGAATCTCCTTGGGTGCACACATTTTCTCCTGACTTGGACATTTTCCCATGGACACAATGTGTGTCAGTCCTGAGATCTCTTGGAGTCGATCCTAAAAAGAACCTTGTGACACTTCCATCGAATTACCCATCCTGGCCACAAGAGATTCCCAGTTGAGGGTAAATTCTGTGGGTGGAGAGTGTTAAGGAGCATCCGATTCGCAGGGTATCCGTCGATTGACTTTTACCTGAATCGGTACACCTTCGCAACGTCAAGTAGAGGTCAAGGCACCCTTTTCAAGACATGGACTCAATCCGAGCCAACTTGCGTGCACGCCGTCAGGTGTCGGTTTACCTCGTGGCGAACGGGAAACGAATCCGAACGATGCTGTTCCCCGGAAGGGGAGACTTCATAACGTGCTGCTTTTCGGGGGACAGCAAATGGCTCGTTACTGCCGCAACCGAGCCTGAGAGCAACATCGTGGTCTGGAACTGGGAAAAGGAGAAGGTGCGAAACAACTTCATTCGTACGATGTTTGGGCCAAAAACGGGGGTGGAATGTGCAGGACATTGCCGCTTTCACCCTCATGGAATGCACACCCGCATGTTACTTGTGAGTGAGTGCGTGCGCGTGCTGGTTTCGTCGACGGTTTCGCCCGAGTGCGTTCCTAGGCTCGCTGCTGCTATGGTGCTGGCTAGAGCACGGAAACCAGGTCCAAGATCTTCCACGAGACAACACTGCCGTCACGTCCATCGACTCAGCTTGTTCTTTTTCGGGAAAACCCGTCCCAAACCTGCAAGACACGGAGCAGCGGTAACCATGTAGCAAGGCTGCTTGCTCATCGTGCCGGGTTGTACTACCACTGGGGGTGGATTTTTCTCCGATTTCTACCTTTTAACCGTCACCAGAACAAAAAATGGAAACTGGAAATAAGATTATTAACATATCCGTAGCAACGTGTACTCATTGCTACCAACACGCGCGGCAGGTAGACAAAACCGCCCAAAACAGCGGTTCCTCCGCCACCCGGGTGGCGTTTCACCCAGGGGACCACGGCTTTTTTACTACGAGCGGGGCGCAGCACCTGCGGCTGTGGTATACCTCGTCCGATAACGTACTCAAGGCCCACGCGATCTTGCCGCAAGCAAAGGAACAGGCGAGCAACAGGCGTCTGTCAATGTCGTCTTTTATTTTGTGTGATCCGCGTGGATAATTTGTGCGCGTTCGATTGTATTGCATAGGTCCTGGCGCCCTCATCACGCCAACTCGCACTTCGAAGTACAGTAGTGCAAGTTCGATGGTAGCCGTAGCCGTGTTGCATCTTTGATGCACAGAACCACGTAGTCGAGGCAACCTTCCAACGGCGGAGCACAATTCTCAAAGCCACTTCAAGGGCATCCTTGCGCAATGTGGCGAGCTTTGTCGAGGCAGTCGGCGCTCTCGTTTATATGCCGGAAAACATCCAGCGAAAAACATCACCGCCAAGTTTGTTTTTATCCTCCTTATTCTTGGGAAGGACCAACACCGTTCTCTTCACCTGCTTGGTCCTTGCGGGGTGAAGAATTGCGTGATGGATGCAAGCATGCACGCTCATGCTGTCACCATAGGAACTGATGTGCGGTTCGATTTCGTCTGCTGCGGCGAAATGGTTGGGTGATGAGTCGTCGCGTGCGTGCGGTCCGCCTTGATGCAGGCCCACCACGTCTTCACCGCAGGGAAGCTCTTGCGATGAATGACCACATGTTTGTTCTCGTGCCTCGGCACACCTACAGGGAATTTTTACCGACCACGCCTGGATCCCTGGCAAGGCAGGCCAGCCCACCCGGATGGTGGCAATAACAGATGGAGACGACCACGGAGCGTCAAGGTGTGAAATAAGCGGGACGGGGTGGGGTGGTAGCCCTCACTCAAAGTGAAGAGCGGGACCAGTTTAGTGTGGTAAATAATAGATCTTGGCCCCTCCCGTGCTTGGTTGTTTGGAGGGTAACCTACAACGCTTCCACTGTAACCGTTTGCCCGATGATTAAGCTGCGCGCTTCTCCGAATTTATCGTTGCACACCATTATTCCTTCTTGTTGAGACACACATGTGCCAGTCAACTTGTACCGACCGGCCCATGTACACCCATCCATTCGCTTCCCGATCCATCAACTCACTCCAATCGCTGCATATTTTGCGTAACTGGTCGATGAGGAAAACACTTAACCTCGTTGTCGAACAAAACAACTAACCGATCAACTAATCAACGCGCCGTCCGACCTATCAGCGGAGGAGGAGGGGGGGGGATGAACCAGCGCGGATCCTTAATCCTGGTTTTCGACGCTTCGACGGCCTCCCCATTCCTCGAGCTCAAGCAGACGCTGCACGCACAGTTGCCGCACACGGCCCGACTCGAGACGCTCATACCATTCAGCAAGGGCTTCATTGTGGCCGGTGGAGGGATCAACGGATACCTGGGAGTCTACGAGAACATGGTGTGCCGGCCGTGGTAGAGTGGAAGTATTGATGATTCGCCGGATTCTGCTATGAGTCGCAAGATGTATCGCTTTTCGCTGCGTTCTTCATCGTTGTCGGAGCCAAGACATCCGTTGCTGAACGTTTTGCGTTGAGAAGGCGGCAGTCCGTCGGGATGCGAGGGTCCTTTCGAGTTCAGATTGAAAAGTTAGGTAGAAGTGCTGGCTGGAGGGGGAGACACTCACAGTTCTTTGTCGGCGAATTCATGCCGTTATCGACGAGAAAATAATTGAAACGTTGATATGAAGGAGCCACTGCTCCATTGTTTGGCCACTTTCAGAGTTAGAATGCGCTCTCACGATGGTCATGTTCAATGGGGAAGAGTCTGAGCATGCCAACTTCATTTGACGCGTTTCATTCCTCTGAACTGCCTCTCACTCTGCCTGTGGGTTTACGCATCAGGGAAGGGGCTAGGTGACCCAATTATCTGGAGGAGACCATGAGAGTTTAACCTGCAATACGTATTGGCCAATGCCGGATTTGTTTTTAAACCGCCGGCACTGCGATCGTGATTTCCCGGAGGTTTTCATGTTATTGTGGTCTCCCGTATGTCCACGAGAGTTACGACAAGCTAGACGCGTGGACACGACCCAATCCCTTTTCAGCGTGTTCACTTGTTCTTGTGCTACACATTGCTCGAAATAATACATGGTGCCAACCAAGTTGGGGCGAACGAACCAGCAGCGAGCAGGCGACTTTCCTGATCATTCGTGGTCCCCATATTCTAAACAGGAAGACCACCGCGACCCGTACATGTGGATCAAAAGCTTCACGGCCAACGGCTCCGCCCTCGAATCGCTCACGCTGAACCGCGGTAGCGAGGTCATGTACGTCTATTCCAGGACCAACGAAATCCTAGTGAGTGCAACTTGTCAAACATGCAGTCTAGCAGGTATAGCTGTGCCGTGTTTCAATTCTGAAGCTTCAGCTTCCAACGAAGTGCCAGAGTTGGTGTACGTGATGCTGGTGTTTTTTCCGTGCTCCCACCAAATAGCTTGGCTTCCCGAACTTCCCTGGGCCGTGGTGTTTCACGCTCAACGAATAGCAAACACACCGCCCGACGCATACAGCGAATATCGACATTCAACTTGTATTATTGCTATCTCGCCGCTTCCCAGACGTTCAACCTCGGGAACATGGACGTGCTCGACGAGGGCAGCAACCACTTCCACCCGTTGCTGCAGGGGGGTAATCACACATCCCCGGTCGTGGCACTGGATGTGTGTCTTACCAAGCCGATCGTCGTGACCGTGGGAGGGGACCGCGTGCTAAGGGTCTGGAGTTATCTCAAGTAAGGCCCGAACACACAGAAGCAGCGCCAGATAATGAGAGAAAACTTGTAGAATTACCACTCAAGGGTGTAACGGGGGCGAATCAGAGGATGAACCTCGGACGACCCCTCGCCTCCCGCGTTCCACTCGTGACAACAACAGGTGGAAGTGCGAGGTGGTGTACGAGTTTCGCAACGAAGACCCCAACTGCGCGAGCCTTCACCCTACGGGCTTTCAGGTCAGCGTCGATGACAATATAGTTTGGCAAAGAACACGGCAGCGACCATATAGGAAGTTTCGGTGGCACCATCCAAATTTCGCTCCAATTGTACTTGGGTCACGTATCTCACCATCACCGGCCAAACACACTTTTTGCTGCTGGAGTTTGAGTTGCCTCGGGGACATGTCGTCGCGGTTGGGGATAACCGACTCTCTATGAAGCACGGCCATTTCTTAATCTTGACCCTAATCCTAAACCTGTGCAGAGTTGTGGCGATACTGAGATGAGAGCACGATAGCTTTCTAAACCTATTATTAATACTTTCATGGAAGTTTTGCGACGTTCTTGGAAGCTTTGGCTTCCGTGGTCGTCGAACGTGAACTTTTCCTATGTTCTAATACTTCTATCGAAGTATGAGCAACTTCCATGGAAGAAATAATTTTTGGCTTTCGTGGAAACCAAAAATCTACCAGCCTCCACGGAAGTGAGTGCAACTTCCATGGAACGTGCATCCAACCGTCCAGGAAGCTCACCACCTTTATCCACAACCGTGTGCGAGCACGATGCACCCGATAGACGGTTCCTGCGCACAAAAGGCACGCGAGTAGCTAACGTCAAGATACGCTTCCGATCGCCCACTTTTTAAGAGCTGAGTCAGCACCGCCTAGCTTCCATCATCCCAACTACAATCTAGCTTATCCCCCACCCCACCGAGTTGAATCCCAGCGGTGATGCGAAACGAAGCACACAAGGTGCATACTATCCTCCAACCCTTCAAAGCCCCCACGACTCATGCGCACACCGACACATCTCTCCCTAGATGGCTCTCCCATCCCACCGCCCCATTCGCGCGGCATCCCAATATATAGGTGGCCGTGGGATTCAAGGACCGGGTCCGAATCTACAGCCTTCTGATGGAGGGGCTGAGAGTGCTGAGGGACATTCCTCAGAAGAACTGCCGGGCAGTGGCCTATGCCAATGGCGGGCACCTCCTGGCGGTTGCGAGCGGGTTTTCCCTGATGGTTTACACATCCATCACGGCGCAGCAGGTGCTTGGTCGAAGCTTGCTGGTGGCCTTTTGTCGGAGTGGTTGGTCCGTGTTGATCCTGTCGGTGCTGGGAGCGCAGTGGTGATGCTGGTGGTGACAATGCTCATGTTGGGTGCTCCTGGCGAGCACCCGGTCGACGCTCGAAAACGAATCTTTGTCCGGCTGAGCGTGTAGCTGGTATTACGTGATGGTGGCCTAGAATAGCGATGATTCCGGATCGGTTCTTGTTGCGTGATGCTGGCGCCCTCCTTTCACCTTTGGCTTTTTTCTCGCCAAACCTTCGCCGGTCGACACCACACGTTGTGCCGGCACCGCTCTCCAGAAAGTTTGGTAGAATGAAGGCTTTCACTGTATCTCAACAGCGAGGTCGATCTTTCACACACGAATAGGTGCACTGTTTTACTGGGCATATTGCGGCCATCACGCTGGTCAAATGGGGGCCCAGGGACAGTGTTATCTTCAGCACCGGACAGGACGGAAACGTCTACGGGTAAGATTTGTATCAACGCTTGGTAGCCAAATCACGTTGAAAGGCGAAGGCGGCGGAACGCTGAGGATAACTTTTGGCACTGAATCGTCAAAGGACGACACCCGTCGGGTGCTACACCGAGCGAGGGCGGGATGATCGGGATGGGGCAGAAGGGGAGCGACAATCACCTCCTGTATACTACAGTGATTGCCGTGAACATCCTTTTAACAGAAACACAAAAAGCATATTTTTGTATACTCCTCTTGGCGACACCTAATGCTTGTGCTTTCAGCGAATCTGCTGCTTGATTCCAGGATCGATGTTCGTGCGCCGTTCGTTTTCGCCTAATCTGGTTGTGCACATAGGTGGGATCTGCACAACGGCGCAAGAGTAGACGACTGTGTGGCACTCAACCGTGCCCACTCATATCACGCGATGGAGCTCAAACTTTCCGACAAGCGTGAGGTCGGAATTCCGCTGTTCGTGGGTCTTGGCTGAGCATCGCATATCGTTTTGATGGGACCTGTAGAGCACCTTTTAAGTCCTCTTGCGCCCGATGTAATTGAGTATGGGCGCTAACCATGATTTCCTTGGAACGGGCGCCCAATTAGGGACACCCGACTATCCTGCTAAAGCGTGAAACATGCTACAAATCTTTTTGTACAGGTTGCTGATGTAGTGGCTTGTTGCGGCACGGATTCAGTCATTCGAGAGGTGACGTGGGGGGGCAGCCTCCACAAGGAACACATCGTCAGAGAGATCAGGCTGGACGCCAACAAGCAGGCAAGCACAACTACGTTTTATTTTCAGTGTTCATCGGGTTTTTCCGTTCGTATCAATGTAGTACACTGTGAAATGGCGCCGTGGATTGTTGTTGTCAAGATTTCATGCAGCACATCTACTACGGATGACTTCAAAGAGAATGGAATAAAATAGCGGTCTGCTCCTCCCTGAACACATACACCCCGAGCACAACATCCCCCGACATATTCTTCACTACAGCGAGGCGACAAGCATGCGCGTCAACTTAAACGTCTCCTACTGATAATGAAAACAGGACGAACCATTCTACGTGACGTGCATGGCCACCAGCATGTCGGGCAAAAATCTCTTCTGCGGCACCAGCACTGGCCGGTACGATACACACGGTACTGGGGAAACAACAAAGCACATTTGAAGACGGTTTGGCATCAGCATTTCTCAATTTTATTCCAGGCTTGGGTCGTTCATGCTTGATTGGCGTACTTGCTTGGTTGTAGGTGAAGATCACCAAGAAAAGAACGTTACTCTTTGGTTAGTAACGAAACCCGGTCGTTCAAGCGTTTGTGTGAAACTCTTGCCGGACCCCTTTGTTCCGTTGACAACGTGGGTAGACCCGCTTGAAGTTCCACCTTCCCGTCCGCACCAAACGTAATTCCTGATGATACAGATGGGTGACAATGTACCTTATGGGGAAAAGCGTGCTTGTAATGCTGTAGTTCCTCCTTCTTACCTTGAATCTTCGGAACATAGCCATCGCACGCCGTATCCAAGAAACGTCCTCTCCGAATACCGTGTTTTCCATGCATGAACGCGTTCTTGGTGCCTCGTCGCACCCTAGGGTGCGCGTGTACGATTGGCCCCTGCCGCAAGAAACCCTTCCATGTTTCGAACTCCCCGTCCACTCCGGCCCAGTGACCGCCCTAGTCGTCACTCCTGACGACAACTTTGTCTTCACCTGTGGGCAGGATGGTTGCGTGTTTGTCCTCGGCATCAAGGTGACGTACTTGTTGACACCGAGGCATTGGTTGATTCACCTATGAAATGGACAATCGGCAGTTGGGCTGAGTACGGCTGTTCATGACGTTGCCGTAACGGTCATTTTTCTCTCCTCGTTCGGCCAAACACACGCTGTCCTTACTTGTCCCGTCTTCTCTTTGGCGGGCATCAAAAGTTGGCGTGGGAAGACAAGAAAAAACTGAGAATGAAGACAAACAGGACGCAATCATCGGTCGCGCATTCGGTTTCAACGAAGCGAGGGCTCTTCCATTGCTTTGGTCTGATAAATTCATGTAGATGAGCGGGGTTAGCTCCCCCGTCAGGTCGGTCGGGGGGCATTTCGCTCTTCGCCGGTCGGGGTTATGCAACCCCCGTTCGTTAAACTTGGAGCAGGAGATGCACTCGACTCCATTTTGTGAAAGAACCACCTTTTGCTAATGAAACTATCTGGTATGGTGTAGAGTGACGACGACTCCCCTGCTAGAGATTATCGGTACGCAGCAACACAAGGTTAACATCGTCATCTTGCTGTACTTTACCGTGTGTACAGCAAGTTCGAAAGGGCACATCGTTCGCCGCCGGCTCGAACGGGTTCTCTCGTTTTTCGACATTCGCATATATTTCGGTCAACATGTGCACAGATGATGGAGCGAGGCATTCAGATCAAGGGGGTGGAGGACCCGGACCCCCGAGCGTTCGATACCGACGCTGTTCTCGTCAGTCAGGAGGAGATCGAAGAGCAGTACGCGCAGGCATGATCCGACCTCTTGCATCACATATTGCACATGGTGCAGAATCCGTTGGTACAGCGAACTTAGTCACTCCATGCTCATTTCGGCTTTGTGGTCATACGTACGGAACGCACATAACATATGCCAGGTACTTGTTTTGCGTAACAGATTTGCCGATACTCCCCCATGAGATCGACGAATATTTGCCGAGATTTGAACTTGACTTCTTCCTGTTCAAGTCAATCTCGACTGAAGCTTCGACTTGTGGAAGCTCATCAAGTCGAAAGTGAACCTTCCCACGAACGAGCTACATCTACTGTAGGTCAGTCATTCTTCCTGAGACGCGTAGACAACGGCGACATGGGAAACCTAGTTCAACCTTCAAGAGTTGTAATAACCATTTCGTGGTGACAAGACAAACGATGAGGGTCCGATGCTGTTCAATCAATAGCTTGCTTGTGTACACTTCACGTTTCACTCCGGGGCAGCTGGTCTGTCTGCCGTGTGTTACAAGCTTCACTTCGAGCAGCATACGTCGTTGACTCAATCGATGGAGGACAAGTTATGGATGACGTACTTGGTGATACTATTTGAGTTCCTCAAACCATCAACACATCATCCGTTAGCAATTTCACTCAACCTTCCTTGATTTTCCGTGTGGGTTTAGTTGATCGTCCTAACCCTGCAGCTGCCGGCACATCTGAACGAACATGAGCTGTTCCTCAGGTAGCGGAGCTGAACAAGACGATGGAGGACATGAAGAGCGAGCACGCCTTCGCGCTGCATAGGAAAACCGCAGAGCTCGTGGATGACCTAAAGCAGGTAGAGTAAAGTTTCACGGCTCAATACCACCACATTCGAGGCAACAATATATTCTCAGTTCAACCAAATACAGATACGTAGATCTGACATGACCCTGCGACACGTACAGTAGATACGGTGCCATTTTTGCGCTGTCGTGAGAAACGGTCGGAGTTGACGTAGCAGAACGTGTATGTATCAATGCTTGTGTTCCTACGCATGTCTCCGGAAACGTTGCCGTGGCCAAGGGGATCTGGCCTGGGGCCAATAAAGCATAGCCTACTCATTCTGGACCACGCACCCCAGCCGAAACTCGGCGTTCGCGAATTTTGGTGGTTAATGGCAACCATTGTTGGAAGAGTAATGAAATAACATGTGAACCTACCACGCGCTCCCACAAGGTTTCGGAAGACAACGAAGGGAAGCTGGCGGCGAAGGACGCTCGCTTCGACGAGCTCTACGCGAAGCACGAAGCTCTCAAACGGGAGAATGTTGAAGCCCTAGACAAGAAGGACAGACATCATGTGCAGGTGAAGGACGCTGCTGTAAGTACATACCACAGCCCAATACAAAGAATACACCGCAATAACTGCTACTCGACTACATACCCACGTTTCCTTCATCAATTAAGATCAAGTTTGAGATATCGCGGCCAGCAACTGCTTTTTCATGCTCGTGCAACACATCTCTTAAACTCTTAGACAAGGCATACAACAAGTATTCACAATGCTCATAACGAATTCCATAGGTTACACAGGAGCTAGAGAACCAGTACGAGCACCGGCTGGCCGTGGAACTGGACCGCTACGACAGACTGAGCGAGGAAGTAGAGACGGTGCAGCAGCGGTGCGAAGGGCTCTTGGAGGCGCAGCAGCAGGAGCACCAGTGGGAACTCAGAGCTAGAGAGCAGGTACGCGCCACGCCGTTCGTGTTATTTGTCCTGTGCTAATAACCGCCCCATATTTCGCATCCCCTCAGTACTGAGCATGGCTCGTGATCCATGGGACCGACCGTTAAGAATATTTCGTTCTGCTGATCGAGCGGCCGGGTAACGCAAAAAAACGCGGATTTCTGGGTTTCATACCGATCACATGATCGCCTCGTGCAAGTTGCTCGTGGTCAAAATTCATTCGCGGAATTGCTTGGCATCGGTTCGGATGGTCGAGGCTAGTGAGGTCGGGGTGGTGTGACGTCGCGACTTTTGATCTGATGTGTGTGGCCTTTCGTCTACCCCGTGATCACGAAGTAGACCCGAGTTGAGGGAGCTCTACGAGAATGCACATACTGCGCGCTGCCTTGGATGCGTACGAGTGTCATGTCCAAGTT